AATTTTCTATCTAGTTTGGTTTCAAATCTTAAGCAAAGCAAAATGTGCATCTGTTAACCTTTTCACCACCACACTTTCTCGCCTAGACTGTCAACAGTCGGTCGTACCTAATATTAATCTGTTATTATAAATAAATATTAGGCGTGAATAATAGGCGAAATAGGCGTGAATAAATTGCGAACGCCGTGACTGTCTGGTGCTGCAATTCCGCAGCAGTTTTTGATATCATGTCACTAACAACTTCAAATCTTGTTGTGAACAACCAACGTATTCAGGGGAATAAATTTGCATGCATTATATTAATATAATCAGCATCAACTATGAATTATTCATGTCAACGAGAAACCTGCAGACGGGAACAGTCTTCGAGACTAAAGATTGGTATTACCAATCAATCGCCTTCAGCGTTCAAATGTCTAGGAAACACATTTACATTAGGCCCGAGGACTGTCGACAGTCTATTTCTTGCCCTAATTTTTCTGCACTTTATTATTTTATTCTTCAACAAGACACTTCGCGATGAGCGTCTTTTGCGGTCAGTAATATTTACAAACATTTGTGTTCACTATTGGCGATCCGTTCTGCTAGGATTGCCCTTAAAATCAATTTTGTGTTTCTGTGTGTGTGGTTTCCGGTGTTTTCACGTATTAATTCTTCTGTGAAAACGAAAATGGATTTTGAAAATGAAAATGGATTTAAAAAATGAAAATGGATTTTGAAAACGAAAATGGATTTTGAAATCAAAAAATGGATTTTGAAAATGAAAACGAATTTTAAAAATGAAAACTGATTTTGAAAACGGATTTTAAAAACGAAAATGGATTCAAACAATTGTTTTTTTATAATGAAAACATATATCAGAAGCGAAAGTGGGTTTTAAAAATCGATTTCAGAACCAAGAATGGTTATTGAAAAGGAATTATAAATAAAAATTAATTGTGAAAATGGTTTTATAAAATGCCATGTTGTGAGCCACCTCGGTTGCCGTACAACAGCCGAAAACATGATACTTGTTTTTGAGCGGAGCGAATGCCAACCAGCCTACCGGATTGTTTTATAAACTGGCTTGGTAATTCCCACCACCAATAGTAGACCATGTCACAGCATTTCAAGTACTTTTCCAACAAATCCAAAATCACTCGATAATTTTGTTTACTTTACATTTGTACTATGATTACATTTTAAGTTTTGATAATTTTATGGATACATGTACACTCACAAAAATACCCCCAAAATAAGGGAATTTAGTTTATAGCCTTGACAAAAAAAGTATAATTTTTTTTTCTATCTGTGTAACTTCATGTGGATATTCTGATGAGATTCAAAGTTCAGTTCACAACTAACGGTTTTGCAATATTAGGACGCTGTGAACTTGTCCATGGAGGCTGCAAATTAATAAATATTGTATTCACTGACATTTATTTTGTATTTACATTTGCAATGAGTTCCACAGTATCTTTTTCTTACTGGTGTGACTACAGTGACTGTGTAGTGTTTTTGTTTTGTTGTCAGTTGTTTGTTTTGTGTTCTTGGAATATTGTACAAAAATCAACAGCGGTTAAATAGGTATGTTATTTCCATTATGCAGTATATTGTAGACAGTACTTGTATACTTTGTTATCCAGCATAAATATCAGAATGTTCAGAAGCATGAGATTGTAATGTAAATTTTGTTCATTAATGTTGTAAGATGACGCTTTCTCCGGGGCCTTCAGACACAGGCGTGCCTTCAGAGTCCCACTGGTATGTTGACTATGTTCCGGCCCGTTTACTTACTTGTTGTCAGTGTCTGAGTGGTATATACAAAATACGACCAAGTGAACGTCAGAATATTAAAAAAACAGAAACCTAAAAATCAGTTGCTTATGCCAAGAGAGCCGCAGAACCAAAACAATCTGTCAGCCGTCGCCGTCCACAGCAGCGATATGATTTTACACTCAATCGAAATTTAGAATCGCAGGTGCAGACAATATGCATAGAAATGAACACTAAATACATCTATCCCGGCCAGCAATCGAATCATCAATCTTCACGAGTGACATAACTGGCATTTCCACCTATTTGCTTCTATTCCCACTATCCTAAAACGCTCAAGTGAATGTTGTCAAATTCGCGAGTATGCGTATTTTTGTACAGTGGCGAAAACATCAGTGCTACAATCAAAGACGCGCTGAACAGAAAGTCAATTCTGGGCTAGTACCATTGTCAAATTCTGGGGAGTAAAGGACTATTTATATGGGAGACGTTACAATAAGGAACTATTAAAATTGTTTGATTTGCATATCAAAATCCTTTATTGGAAGAGGGCATGTTCTATATTCACCAAAAAACAAAGTTATTATGTTTCTAGACACACAACAGACTCGAAACAATAGAAAATGTCCGATCCGAGCGACCTGCGTTCTTGAAAATCGAGTCTTATCGCCTTTGCGTTTCCGAGCAAAAAAACGTTGAGGCCAAAAACGACCGATTTTCCCCCAATCTTCTATGAATTTTTCATAATTTAGCTAATTCAGTCCAGCGGTTAGATAGAGTATTTATTAGAGACGCCCAGAGAACCAAAATTTGGGACGTGAATCGCTCCGGCGACGAAAAATCTGCGAAAATAGCCAAGGGGGTGAGGGACTGCATTTCAAAAACATATTTTATATATAGGGTATATAATAATTCTGGAAATGAACCCTAATTTTGGAGCTAACAGAAAAAATGTGAGTAAATTGTCAGTTTGTACTTAGGTTGTCCTAATCTTCTGAAAGAAAGTGCAGGCTATTAGTTGAACTATTTTGTGAATTTGTGATGAAAAGAGGAAACTGGTGGTGAAAAGATTGAATGCAAGTTAGTATGTCAGCAATATTAAGTATTAATAATTCATATACATATACATATAACTGTTAGTATGTCAGCAATATTAAGTATTAATAATTCATATACATATACATATAACTGTTAGTATGTCAGCAATATTAAGTATTAATAATTCATATACATATACATATAACTGTTAGTATGTCAGCAATGTTAAGTATTAATAATTTATATACATATACATGTTCTTTGTTTTATGTGTTGATTCATTTCAGATTGCAGAATATTTTTGATATTTTAAAATATTTGTTAATTAATTAATTACATTAATTTCAGTCAAAAACAATAATAACCACAGGAGCATGTATTCAATGTTGTTAATGTAGAGTATGGAATGAGTGCGACATCTGACAGTAGCTGTTTTTAACAAAAATTTATAAAAATTAATAATCTGTGGCTCGATAAAAACAGATATTTTCAATCTCAGCATTTGCAGTCAGTTTGTTACTTTAAGAAAAGGCCATTTAATTAAGGCATTATTGCTATACATTTCCAATATAGTGCTTGCATTCATCTGTTTTTTAGCTCCACTGTCAACTTTGTTGAGTGGAGCTTATCATATGAGTGATTGTCTTTTTACTTTTTTGACTTCTTCTTGAAAACTATAAGCCTGAATGCTTTGATACTTGGTGTATGGGTCCTCTCTCAGATTTGTTCATTTCATGATGATATCTTTAATTCTCTAATTTTGGTGAATAATTTTGTAATTTTTCGTAAAAAGTGATATTTTCAAATTCTTGTTGAAAACAGTAAGTCTGATTGCTTTGATACTATGATATTGTTCATTTTCTAATGATATCTTCAGTTCTTTAATTGAAATGTGCATTGCTAACAGCGGAGCTATCTCAGCTGACAGGCTGCTTGTTTATTATATGCTGTGTACCTATCTCAATATAATTCTGATAATAAAGTAAAATGGAATGCCAGTTTCACAAGAAATATTGTGAGGTGATCAAGCAACAGTTCTGCTTTGTATTGTGGGTAGAATGTTTTGTACCTGGTAGGTTACATTTGTACTGAGTATGATATGTTGAAAGTGTTGAGGCTTTTCTAATATGTGATGTGTTTTGTACCTGGTAGGTTACATTTGTACTGAGTATGATATGTTGAAAGTGTTGAGGCTTTTCTAATATGTGATGTGTTTTGTACCTGGTAGGTTACATTTGTACTGAGTATGATATGTTGAAAGTGTTGAGGCTTTTCTAATATGTGATGTGTTTTGTACCTGGTAGGTTACATTTGTACTGAGTATGATATGTTGAAAGTGTTGAGGCTTTTCTAATATGTGATGTGTTTTGTACCTGGTAGGTTACATTTGTACTGAGTATGATATGTTGAAAGTGTTGAGGCTTTTCTAATATGTGATGTGTTTTGTAGCAACATTACACAAAGAACAAAGAGTATAAATTCTTCTTGTACTTCATATTCACTCTGGAGTCCTACTGGTTGAAGTGAAGTGTGAATTTCATAAAGTTTTGTCTTCATGAGTGCCATCAAATTCTGAAAATCATGCTAATTTCTAGCAAGAAAAATAAAGCGGTTTGAAGTTGTTCCTTTTCCATATATAAAATTGATTGTACATGTACTTCAAAATGTGTTAATTATTCAAATTTATTCATACAGATTGGAATCAAGCTCACACTGATGTCAATGTTACCAAAGTTGTTGGTAAAGTAGCTAGACAAGATAATACCTATTCATTACCATCTGACATCAATGCTCATCCGTTCTCTAAATACTCTAATATATACTTCAAGGTAAATATATTAAATAAATGAATTATTTTTTTTTAGAATTTTCCGTTGCATGTTTACTACTTTCTCAGTTCTTTATCTTTATTAGCGCCGGACCTTATCATATGAGTGATTGTCCGGCATTGTCCACGTCAACTTTTTACTTTTTCAACTTCTTTTTGAAAACTACAATTATTATTGCTTTGATACTTCTCTTAGATTTGTTCATTTTGTGATGATATTTTTAGTAAAGTGATATTTTTGACTTCTTGTTGAAAACCGCAAGTCTGATTGCTTTCATATTATACATCTAGGCACTATAGGTTCATTTTATAAAGATATCTTCAATTTTCTAATTTTGATGAATATTTTTGTCATTTTTGGTAAAAGGTGATATTTTCAACTTCTTTTGAAAACCGCAAGTCTGAGGTAACTACAAGTAGACCTCTCTCAGATTTGTTCATTTCATGATGATATCTTTAATTCTCTAATTCTAATGATTATTTTTGACATTTTTGGTAAAAAGTGATATATTCAACTTCTTGTTAAAAACCGGTAGTTCGATTGCTTTGATACTATACATATAGGTACCTCAGGTAGACCTCTCAGATTTGTTCTTTTTTAATGACATCTTCAGCTCTTTAATTGAATTGTGCATTGCTAACAGCAGAGAGGCTGCTTGTTTTACTTTTGTGTCAATATCCAAAATGGATACAAAGACGAAGTTTACCATAAAGTTGAAATCAAAATACCTGTTAAATACCATAACCATACTATGCAATCTCTAAAGTTCAACTTGTAGTTTCACTGTTGTCTTTTTCTGTTGTTTTCTTGTGTTTTCTGGTCACGTTCCAATCTTTTTGTGTTTCAAAAGTTTATCAAGAGTATTAAACATGGAGGTAAATACCAATAACAATGATGTACACAATTTTGCATAAATATTAATTGTAATTTAAAATAATGTGTAATATGACATTTTTCAAGCACAATAATTTTGTGATATAATTTTAATGTGTAGTTTCCATGTTGGTAAGCTGTATGTCAGTTTTAGATATTTATTTTAGTTGATAACGCTTAGTTCATTCATCTCACATGTGTATGCATTTATTCTGTTAGGAATTAATTGTTGAATTTTTTTCCTCAGAGAAAAGAATTTGGTATGACATATCAACCAATTGACAGTGGATTCTTGAAGCTGAATGATGACGATGACAAAGAAGCGGTTGCTTTGTTTAAAACGATTCAGAGATTCATGGCAGAAGTGGATATTAGCAAAGATAAAGAAATTATACTTGGAAACTATATAGTACAGCGAGTAAGCAAACTATTTGCAGTGTGCCCTCTTAAAAATAATGTGCATCTCTCCATAAAGTCCAACCACACTGATTTGTAACTAAATTATGTGATTTGTCCTATCACCATTCAAGGTGCCACAATTTTTGCAATGCATGCCAATATGCATAAAAAGATCGTTTGACAACTGTTTTAGAATTGTACAGAAAAATTAACGCTTTAGGTTTGTGTATAATCCCATCGTCTCCTATGATCAACATGGTAATACTACATCCTTTGTGTTCCATGGTCACCATGGTAACTTGTAAGAGATATTAACAGAGAAAGTTCTATGTGCAGGGTTTGCAGAATGGTGCACTTCGAGATGAGATATTCAGTCAGCTTTGTAACCAGACATGGCAGCATGATACAGAGGAGGAAAATATGAGGGGTTGGCTTCTTATGTCTAATTGCCTGGGTGCTTTCCCACCGTCACCTCGACTCTACAAATATCTACTAAAGTAAGTCTACATATAGGAGGGATTCATTCTTATATTCTCAGTGTCTTGGTGCTTCCCACCATCAACTTGTTATGGCTTTGTAAATTGTTTGGTATAGATATAGAATATTTGACTCAAAATAATGTAAGGAATTAAAAAATTTATGGCCAATGTCATGGAAAGCAATAATAAATAAAACAAGAAAACATTTAACAATTAGCATAAATTTTAGAGTTTATGAATAAAAACTTTTTTATTGGTCATTTTGTAATAACCTTAACTATAGAGATTATATCTATAATGTGCAAGTGGGTACAATATGAGAATAGTGTAGTTAATAAGCGTATTATAATGCGACATTTGTCATGCAGTGTGTATTCAATTTTGTTATCTTGCATGCCTTGTATACAATGCTATGGGTCCCATACAAAACTGTACTTTAATTATTCAGTAAATTTTAATTCTGCTGTTATTTACTGAAAATTAAATAAATGCACAGGTACATTAAAATTACAATACAATTACAACTTTAAATATTGTTTTAACTATATATTAAAACCTTATCAAATATCCAAATAACAAATACCAATAACATTAATATATAGGTACAGTGTATGTGCTTTGTAATACTTTAGTTCACAATGGTAGAGAGATCAATTATTAATCATTGTAGCACTGATAATGTTGCTGAAGTTTAGGTCACTGTGACTGTCAAGAAATTATGACACCTTGACTTATTATTGAGTATTTTTTGCAAACGGTTCAATTTTTGTTTCGAATGAAAAAAAAACACAATTTAAAAAAAAAATAATTGCACCAAGTTGGCTTTTACAGTTGCTAATACTGTTTTACCACTAGATATATCTCTGACCACGCATATGATGGTTACAAGATTCACTGTCAGCATAAATTACTTGGCTGTGATACCATAGATAGTGGAATAACTAGAACCTACCCACCGTGTTTGTTAGAATGGAAGGCAAATAAACAGAGAAACAATATGGCTTTGTCTGCCAAGTATCCCGATGGTGAGGAAGTGATGGGACAGGTTGATTCATGGACTACTGGTGAAGAGTTTGCTAAAACATTGCTCAAAAATAGGTTGGTTTCATTTTTATGCCTTACTATGTAATTGCCTATATATGCATTACCCTCATAGTGTGTAGTGTACCTGATGTGTGGTCTAATGGTTAGCATGTTCGCCCAACAAATCCTCTGCTCAGCTGCATACTCAGCAGACAAAAAAAAAAAAAGAGTACATACTGCCCACATGCTAATTCAGCATTGAAAATATGATGTGCGAATGGAAGGGACATAAAAAACTGTTGGTCCTGTGTGCTAGTGCACATAAAATAACATTCAGATTGCAAATAGTAGCTGATTGCTGAACATAAATAGATTTATGTGTTGTACAATGTTTGAATTCATTTAAGGATACACAAAACTTCACTTACTTGGCAGAATAAGTAATAATAATAATGATAGAAGAGTGCTGCCTTGTATGTATATAACACATAGAATTACTGGCTTTACTGTTATATTTAGGGGTGTTGTACAAGGCAATAAGGGTTGGTCAGTGTGGTTGAAGGATGGCAAAGAACGTTATGAATTATCTGGATATGATTACGTATTGGATTTAATATCAGAGATGGAAATTCCACCAGATTTCCCAGTTATAGAGTCACAGTTCTTAGTGTCTTCTGAGATCTCCAGGGAAGGCCCACCACAACGAAAAATGACCTTGGCACCCAGGTAAGTTGATGTTCAACATACAGCATACTGTACTATATACATTGTAGTGGTTCATAACTATTGCAAAAATTACTTATTACCCAAAAAGAAAACCTGATTTGATGGATATTTGACATAAAATGTACATGTAACATAATTTAACAATTCAGTGACACTAAGAAAATACCTTGTGATTTTCAATTTTCCAAAAAAATAGAGTTGCTTTTGTTTAGAGACGATGAATGTTTGTGACCTGATACTAATTAATCATTATACAATTGCAGTCAAGTTCCAGACATTGACAAATTATTGGCAAATGAAGATGACCAATCACAAACTACTACAGTCACCATAGAACACCAACCTCCTTCATATATGAATATAACACAAAATGGAGCATTGTATGAATTACCAGAACCAGACTATGAAGGCGTTGATCTGGAAAAACTGAGCCAGATGTACCACAATGAAATGATGGAAACTGACTATCCCCTGGGGAATAATCTACCTGAGAGGGACTATTACAATAGGTTGGCCACGATACAGGAAGCCTCTTCTCCAAAGACAAGACGACAACGTCCAATATCGGATGATGAGAGACTTCGATCAGCGTCTGTGTACAGTGACCATAGTGATGATGATGCCAAGTCTGCAGTCTCAAAAGCATCTGCTGTAACCCTGGGAACACGTATTCGCATGGTGCCTGTTCCATCAGTGAGTTCAACTTCTGGGTTAGATGACTACTTAGATAGGTTGTTTGATCCTGTCATCTCCGCTAACATGGAACCATTAACCAATGCTAATACAATGGATAAACGACTGAAAGGTGGAGGGCGTGGACCACCTGAATCCAAACTAACTGGTAGGATATATTTATCTTGTCATAAACAGTCACAGAATGTGTGTGTGCACATTGTCAGCAGTAGAATCTTTAAAACCAAGCCAAAATAAAAATGTTGATGTTTTTGAAATGAAGTAATCAGTGCAGCATTTGGTAAAAACTGTATTGTCCCACAAGTTGACGATCAGTGAATTTTAGAAGAATCTAGATTTTTGTGTGGCCACTTAATAGCAAGCCCAAATATATTTGTCCAAAACAGGATAATATTTGGATGGTGTTTTATCAATAACAGTAGCATGGTGTATTTCAATGGTATAGTAGTAGTGAAATTACTGCCTGTTCGTATGTTCCAAACTAGTACCTAACTTTCCAGTCTTGCTGGTAAAAATTAAAACGTACATGCCCTGGTGGTCTTGTCACATTTTTTCATGATATGTCAATAAAATGATGATTGTGTGTGGTGCTAACTTGGAAGGGGAATGAAAGTATTTTAAAATATAGAGCTGGTGATATTTAAAAGATACCTGTTCTTGTGTCTAGTACTTAATATACTGGGTATAGCACTGTGCAGTATGGTTTGTTTAAGTGTTTACACTACCATCTGTATTAATCACGTAATTGTCATCATACAAATTTTGGGTTTATCAGTAATGGTGATGTATTTTGTCTATGTATTTCAGGGGGGACTATGATGAATGGACCTGGTACTATTCCAATGATGGCCCCACCCCCACCACCAGGTATGTAAACATAATTTTCACATTCTTTAGTTTATTTATTCTAGTATAGGTAATAAGGGTTCATGGTATATTGGGTATTACTTAATCACTTACTCATAAAAATAAAAGGTTCTCTAATATACTGTAAAGGCATTTAATTTTCGATATATATAAATTTTGATTCACATATTTGTAAATGATTTTCAGTCACATGAATTTAATTTGGCTATTTTTGCTGATAATTTCAAATTATAATGTAGTGAATAATTAGTGCATTTGCAGTATCCATAGTGATCAGTAATGCCTCATTCTTGTATGATGAAAATCTTCTATCCTTGCACCATGAAATAATTCTTACTTACGTATTCTTGATGTGACTGTCAGCTTGTATATAATTCTTACTTACGTATTCTTGATGTGACTGTCAGCTTGTATATAATTCTTACTTACGTATTCTTGATGTGACTGTCAGCTTGTATATAATTCTTACTTACGTATTCTTGATGTGACTGTCAGCTTGTATATAATTCTTACTTACGTATTCTTGATGTGACTGTCACCTTGTATATAATTCTTACTTACGTATTCTTGATGTGACTGTCACCTTGTATATAATTTTTACTTACGTATTCTTGATGTGACTGTCAGCTTGTATATAATTCTTACTTACGTATTCTTGATGTGACTGTCAGCTTGTATATAATTCTTACTTACGTATTTTTGATGTGACTGTCACCTTGTATATAATTCTTACTTACGTATTCTTGATGTGACTGTAAGCTTGTATATAATTCTTACTTACGTATTCTTGATGTGACTGTCAGCTTGTATATAATTCTTACTTACGTATTCTTGATGTGACTGTCACCTTATATATAATTCTTACTTACGTATTCTTGATGTGACTGTCACCTTGTATATAATTCTTACTTACGTATTCTTGATGTGACTGTCACCTTGTATATAATTCTACTTATCGGTATATGTTCTCTTTACATATCTGTATTTTGTCACTGATTATTCTCTTTTATGTTTGTATTATCTATTTATTGATACGGTAGTTTACTTTATTATTTTCTCTGGAGAAAGAAAATGCTGTTAATAAAATGTGAAAATTGTCCTTGAGCCATTTATTAAAATGGTTGAATTAAAAAATGTCTTTCTCTACTTACTGTAATCAAACTTTATAACTTAACTACTTTGTATACAATGTTACACTTACTTTGCATTTGTTTCAATTTAAGTTCTGATTCAAAATGGCCAACTTTCTATTGAAAGTCAGGAACTCTATTCTGTCACTAACTTGTTCACATGATTATATTCTCAAAAGACGAGCAACTAATTGAGTAAAATAAAATAAAAAAATTCCTGCCTAGCAACCCCAAAATTTTTTAAACCATTACAGGAAAAAACAAATTTGATTTATTTTGCTTTGTATTCAACAGCATTGAACTAATCTTTACAAATCACTGTTTTTGCTGAAACCTCTGACAAGTAACACTACCTAGTATAAATTAATCTATAGTATTAAATTAAAAGTTAAATTATTAAACTTCAATCAACTATATATATTATATATCAATATTTCTTATTTTTTTTCTTAATACTAGTTATGTCAGCACCAATGCAATTGTTACCTCCAGCAATGACAGCTATGCATAGTATGCCACTTACTAATATGCAACCAGGTGTGGTATTAAGTTGTGTGCAATTAATTCACATTACTACACATCAGTGTTTTCTTGCTTGCTTTTATCTAATTACTTTTATTGGTTTATTTTATTCACACATTTGTACTTATGTCTTTTGTCACCTTGAATTTCTTTTTTGTTATTCCTCCATTATGCACCTTGTTATTGTACAAGAATACACCATGCTGGTGAACACTCTTTCATAATACACCATGCTGGTGAGGACTCTTTCATAATACACTATGCTGCTATGCACTCTTTCATAATACACCATGCTGGTGAACATTCTTTCATAATACATTATGCTGGTGAACACTCTTTCATAATACACCATACTGGTGAGCACTCTTTCATAACACACCATGCTGGTGAGCACTCTTTCATAATACACCATACTGGTGAGCACTCTTTCATAATACACCATACTGGTGAGCACTCTTTCATAACACACCATACTGGTGAGCACTCTTTCATAATACACCATACTGGTGAGCACTCTTTCATAATACACCATACTGGTGAGCACTCTTTCAAAATACACTATACTGGTGAGCACTCTTTCATAATACACCATACTGGTGAGCACTCATTCATAATACACTATACTGGTAT